AAAAAAAAATTGAAAAAACATAGCTGATAAATGAACACCAATCAAATCAATTAAAAAATGTTCCCAAAGTTACTGCCACAAAGCTGCTCTATGCCCCTTATCTAGAAGCCCACATTATGCGTGATTTCTTTAATAGCATACGCGGGCCTGGGTATGCAATACAGAAAGAAATGCTTCAGCAAACTTCCAGTTCAGCGCGTGAAAATCGGCACATCGCACTAATACTTCGGGTGAAGCACGAGCGGGGAACTGTGGCGCATTAAGAAGGAGCCAAGTGCATAACACACAAATAGATCAGATGTAAACGAAGCATGGGCAGGTCTCCGGGGTAGTAGCAGCAGACTACTATACGCAATCGCGAAACTGGGGCAAGAGTAACTGGACACAAACCTGCTGCATATCAGCTGAGCTTTTTCCACGCATCTGCTTATGGAACAATTGCAGATGAGTGAGATATCGATCCCTGTCCTGTACATTCTGATCACATATCTCACAGACATTGCTACTGTTGGAACTGGAAATGTGTCCGGTTCCGGATAGCATCCCGCTGAGCTGAACACGCGACGAAATCTGTTAAATAAATGTATGAGGAAAAGGAAGCTACAACTTCGTGTGACATGTGCATGCAACAAAAATGTCGCCCATTTATGAAGCAACGATCTCTGCCCGTACATTCCCACCACATACCTCAGGAACATTTGTGCTGAAACAGTAGTGAACAGTTCCAAGCGAGCTACGCACACTTTGATTACACTGCAGAAAGTTAAACAAAAGCCAGGAAACCGTCATTCCGGTTTGCTGTGCACGCAGGAAAAAAGAGGATGGAGCTACGGATGCCTGAGACATCGTCGGCAAAGTGCACAAACAGATCGCAATTTCGAATTCACTGCTGCTGCAGTCCACGATGAATCCTACCCCTTGAGAGCCTAACAAGATGACATTTCCGCTGAGAACTGATGAAGGAGATCGAAACTAGTACCGACTTCGCACACTACAAAGCACTGGGAGAAAGAAGTTAAAACCAATGCGTCGTGCAAGCGCGAGATATACGATGTGGATACGAATCACATCAAGACCTATAAAAGCTGCAGGGCTGAACCTTTGGGAAATTAATCTACACGCATGTACGGGCTTCAATTCCCACAATGGGCGCCATTACCTGCGTGGCGCCCGCGTAAGGGCACGCCAAAGCTTTTTACGGGCAAATTCATAACTCCGGAATCTGAGAAGCTAGAAAGCTGAAATCTTAAGGGAATGTTCCCCGTCCAAGTAGGTGTTAATGAGCTCAAACCCAGCTCCCGGATACGTGTAGTACCCACGTGCGAGTCCGTGAAAGTTTTCTTCCAGTAA